TTTTAGTTGTATGACCACATACTGTAATTTTCTACCAGACCACTTCCTCGGTGCCCAGAGTAAAAGTAACCAGAGGCAGCTATCTGCAGGGCTGCTTTCCTTGTTTTTTGTGTGTGAGGTGTAGTTCAGAAAAGCTGTTTGCAGACTTGGGGCCATCAAAATATGTAGTAGGCAACTGGAAACCTTTTGGCATGAAATAATTTGACCTGCTTGACCAACAGCTGACTTGAGCTGAGGATTTCACCTTCCTCTTCACCTTGCCAGGTTCAAACATGAGAGCATCATGTCAGCTTAGGCAGATGTCTTATGTGTTAAGGTTGTGATAGCACAACCAAACCAGTCTATGTTCAAAAATTAAAACTGTAAAAAGATAAGTAATTAAAAGCTTATGCCTAAAGCTTTTATGATAAAACTTTTTATTTTATTGCATATCCACATTAGCTGTAGGCACAATTGGAACATTGAGGAAGGCAAAGTTTTACGATGTCTCATGCTGATGAAACCTGGAGGTTACCCAAATACTTGTTATTAATCATGTATAGGAAACAAATTCAGTGACTTTGGAACTTGTACCCAGCATCTGGGTTTTCAGATCTCCTTCATTTTTAGGGACAGTAGGAACTGTCCCTAAAATTTTGTGTAACCATACACCATGCTATGCAAATAGAGAGCACAAAGTTAAAGAATGTACTCCTAAACTGATAAGTCTGTGTGTAAGAGTAACAGGATAGCAGAACTCCTAACATTTCTTTCTGGGATATATATTTTTTCTAATATGCATGCGCTTCCCTTGCTCAAAGCAAAGAGCAATGGCACTTGTATTTTGTTGTGTCATTGAAGCCATCATAATGGTTATGCTATGTAAAAAGTAGCTAACTAGCCTAAGTGAAGGACATCTCAGCATAGCTGAGTCATGAGGATGTTTTTTCCGTTTTTAGAATAAAACAGAAAGGATTTTTATTATACCTTTTAACACTTTGTGTTCTATTTCAGTCCTGATACTAGTTAAAAATCATCTTTTGACTTAGGCCCAGACTGTTCTACAGCCCAGAATAAACAAAATTGAATGCTGTTGGGCACATATAAACCTTGTCAAAGGCATAAATACTAGTAAATGAGCCATATTCAATTTCTAATACTCCCAAGCTAATGGTGCATTTGAATGGGTGGAGTCCTGTGTTGCTTAAAAAGTAAACTTCTAGAGTATCAACTTGATCATATAAAATTATATTTTTGACAAAAATGTATTTGGTGTCATGTTGCACCTTTTTCGGTGCAACATGTTATATACAGTTTTTCAGACTGCTCAGTTCAGCTGAGTTTCCTAAACTTTTTCTACATTCAGCCATATGCTGCACATTTTTGCTCACGTGCTTGTGTGTTGCTTTCGTCTACCTTATCTTGCATTTTAATTGTTTCACAATTTTCAGTGAGCCTGGACAGCATTCTAGTTTTGATAGGGGTAAGGGAAAATCCCTTTTATTTTGCTCAGTCAAATGGGTAAGAGACTGATGTCTGTACTTGCTGCTTGAGGAACAAAACTTATTTTTTCATTGTAGGTCTTCCCTATTGTGACTTTCAACCCTATCTCAATCTCAGCTTCCTCTCCTCCTGCAGTTAATTACCAGTCCTGGCTAAGCTGTCCACAAGCTCTTGAGTTGCTCAGACTGAGCCCCTATGGTCTTCATTCTGACTGTTGCCTGTGTCTCATAGAAGGTCTTGGTTCATAGGCCCATGTTTCCATCACAGTTTCTGTCTTGACTTTCTTCTCCAGAATGCTGGCTTGTGTGTCAGAGATGTGGCTCAATCCTTGTTTTGAAAACCATCCGTGTGCCTGGTGCTGCATTCCTGAGAGCAGCAAATCAACCATGTAAATGTTTTCAAAAGTAGGGATGCAGCCTAATATTTAAAGCTATTGTCCTCTTGTTAGCATAAAGTTATGGTCTGATGGGATAATCTCCTATGAGAAAAAATGCATACACTATAAAACATATTAACTGAGCTTCCAGAACACATAAAAGACAAATCAAGACTTAGTGCTTTTGTTGAGTGTGCAACGAATATATGCTGAAGCTAGTGCTGACTCCAGCTGACAAAACCATCCACACAATGCTGCAGGTAGGTCTGAACTAGCATGTGAGGGACCAGCTGTGGAACCTCAGCATTTGACATGTGGTTATTCCACAGCTGGATAAAAGTCAGTTGCATTAGATTCTGTAACCTGCTCATCAGTGAGCAGGTCTGGCAATCTGGTGTGGATATCTCATGCTTTTTAGTGGCATTTCCAACTGAATTCTCTGGGCTTCTGAATTCAAAAAGACAAGTCTTGACTGCCATGTGGTTTAGAAGAATTGTGTAGTCAGTGCTTAAAAGAATGATGTAAGAAAAAGCTTAATAAATTTTCATTTCATTTGATTAGCTCCTACCAATCTTGTAGAGCAAATGCATACTAGAAATAGGCACTTGGTAGTAATTGTGTTTGCACTGAACCAGTAACTGATATATATAACGTACAAGTATCGAAAGAAAGTGTTTCTCATAAAGATGTTTCACCCAAAAAGAAAAAAATAATCAAAACTAACATTTGTTAACCCTTCTGAAGGGATATGAAGTGCTTACACACAGTTCTGCTGTTGTTCATATATTTCCAGTGTGTCTTGAGTTGAATGCTTTTATATAACAAAAACTTTCTCAGGTGGTGACTAGGAGCATAACATTGTCATAGTATTAACTTCACCTTTATCCTAAAGAACTTGGACTACTAAGTCCAGAAAGAAAAATGTATGTAACTTCTACTTTATGAGCTAAGAGGAGAGAAAATTCTGTAAGTATATTATGCACATCTGAAATCCTGCATGTTCTGGATAAAATACTTCGATAAAATCTAAAATAAATAGAAAGACAAACACAGAAAAAATCTCTGGCTTAAGTATAGATTTTCAAGGGACTGTAATCAAGATTTTTAAAAACTGATAATCTTTAAATAAAATGCAAAAATTCTGCTAAATTTATTGATTTAATAGCTCTGGATGTCCTTTTGTAAAATCTGGGTTTAAGTTCAGTTACGTCTTCAGTTTTTTAGGTGAGTAATTAAGGCATTTGAATTATAATATTGCCCAAGGCCATTTCAGAGTTAACCAGAAAGCATTTAAGTGGTGACTGGAACGTTTAACATTTATGTAGAAAGTTTCAGCAACAAGTATTAAGACTTTATTGTTAACATTTAATGTATCTGGTAAGTAGTGCTCTGTGATTTGAAGAAGTAGCTTTGTGCTTTCAAAGTTTGTTAAAATATCATCTTTCACATTCTGATAGTGCTATTTTAATTATTTTCTCCCAGCAGTGTTATTTCCACACATATAATCTATCATAGCAAATATATTTAAAGTAACATGGTACCTTAAATTTGAGGTTAACGGGTAGTTTTTGTGTTTTGCTTCAAGTTGTAAAAAAACAGGAGAAAAACATGATCTTAGTTACTTCATTCTGAATCTGAGTCACTGTCTGACAGCTCTTATGCAAATTTGTTTCTTTGATTAAAATCTTGTGCACTGTAAAGAAAGTTTATCATTTATTGCTGCTTTTCCTTCCCTATTTTGTATATCCTTGTTAAGATGTTAATTCAGTGTATTTAGAGATACTTGTCTCATCATTAATGGATTTGTTCATGCTGATTTGTATCATTGACAGGATTAAGAAAAGTAAGCACTTTTTAACAAGTTATTTTGTACATATGATGTGGCATTAAAAACACAAAACCTCAGCAAGCTACACACTTTGCACTTTCTGAATGAGTTAGCAGTACTTCTATCTGATGAGGAAGTAGATGTGTTTATAAAACAACTTTTTAGGGCTGACTGTCATAGTAAATGAAAAATTACTTGCCTGGTTCTGTACAGGGTTTTTTTTCCCCCCAGAATCAGTGAAAAAATCAGTTGCTAGCAGCTAATTGCTGAGCACTGACAGGCTTCAGTCAAGGGGGGGCATCGTTGGTCTTTCACAAATAGACAATAACAAGTAAATCCGTTTGGCCAGAAACTAAGTGGTTGTGATACAGTAAATTAGTTGCTCTTCTTATCTTAATTTGGGAACTCTTTAGCTCTAAGGTGTATCAACAGCTTGCTTGTTGTATATATGCTTTTTTATTATATTATGCTGAAAAAAAGTAAGTGATGTCAGTTCTTTTGCTGTAATTCAGATTTAGGATTTATTTCAGCCACATTCTGTTTGCTTGATTCAATCTAATAAGTTTTTTAAGTGACAGTATTTTCCTAGGCAAGTAAGTGTGTATGTCTTGAAATCAGCAGATGCAATCAGTAGGTTCTCTGCTGAATTTGGGGAACAGCAGGTGGTCTGACAAATGCCAAACACCTGAAGTATTCTAATTCTCGCTTTATTCTAACAAAAATGTTACTAAGAGGGTCAAAATAACCTTTTGTGAAATGGTCATTATTAGCTAATGATGCTTGTGAGAAATCACACTCTGATAACAACTTAGATCCTAAGTTCCTCTTCCACATAGAAAAGCTAAAGCCTGGAAGAGGAAGCGCTTTGAGTATGATTGGAAGTGGCTGTTTCGAAACACTGCGCAGTAATTTACACAATCACACACAAAACCTGCGCTGGAGCCTGGACAATACATCAATCGTATGTCGCGACTTTGATCCCCCCACCACATGGCAAACTCTGCCCCTGCTCTGCCTGACTTTGATCCAGTCCCAGTGTTACCTTCATTAAAAGTGAAAGGGCTTGTGGGGATGCTTTTCCATGGCCCTGTTTTGGGAAGTGTTTTCAAGGCTGCGTATCGCGGGCTGTGCAGGACTATGCTGCAAACGTTTCAGCACGGTGTTTCCACTGGTGCAATTCTTGGCCTATTCTCCTGTGTAGATCTGGAATCCTGTGTATCTGCATCCTTTGGAGACAAATGCCTAGGGCAACAACTGTAGATAATAACTTGCGATTTGTGTCTTTTGCAAGTTACAGTCATTGTAAACTGACAGCTGTGAAGGACCTAAACTCACATCAAAGGATACAGATCATCTAGTTAGGTCAATTAATGTTAATTCTCATCTTCCATTAAATTCTTTTATCTTCTCTCTTTTTCTTTTTTTTTTCCAGCCAAGCCCAATACCAAGTCCTGTTTTGGGGAGAAAGCCAAACGCTAGTCAGTCATTGCTTGTGTGGTGCAAAGAAGTTACAAAAAACTATCGGGGAGTGAAAATCACAAATTTTACTACATCGTGGAGAAATGGTTTATCCTTTTGTGCAATACTACATCACTTTAGACCAGACCTAATGTAAGTTGTATACTCTTTGCCTGTATAAGCTAACATAGAAACATAGAACAGTTACGTTTACATGAAAATCAAATCCCTGTTTGTTTCAAGTGTTGAACTGTTTTCCCCCTTTCCTTTCAAGCAGGGAACCATCCTTTCTAAGAAACCAGGTTTACGAATGTTCAAACTTTGTGACCTCTTTGCTCTCCCTTGTTGCATAAACAATTATTTCTCCCCTCTCTGTGATTTGTTTTTTTTCTTCTTAATCTTGTACAAAGAACTGACTTCAAGATGATTATGAAAATTGCACCGGTGTTGAAATGAGATGAGAGGAATAAGCTCTTTGTACACTGACAAGGATGGATTACCTCCTGGTAAATTTGGTTGTCAAGGCTGGCCTCTAGTCCCTGCCTTAACTTCTTTTTTAGATGGAAAGCTTCAGGCAATGAAACATGTAATCGGTGTTTATTTATTTATTTATTTGTTCCTTTAATTTTCCACACTATTAGTTTTGTTGATTGAATTGCTGTGAAATTGCTAGTTACTGTATGATATTATTGTATGTCAAGTTTTTAGATTTAGTTTGTTTTAAAACTGCTGCTTTTATCAAATACTGTACATACCCACTGTGCCATTTTCCCCCTCAGTGACTACAAGTCTCTGAATCCTCAAGATATTAAAGAGAACAACAAAAAGGTAAGAACTGCCAGGGGAAAAAAAAAAAAAAAGACATAGCCTCAATTTTGACTTCACTGCAGGTTTTTATTAATTTTGGGAAAGTGCGGTTGTTTTGTAACGTCATAACTGCGGCTCACAGAAGGTATTCCACCTCCTGTGGTTCAGACTGGATGCATTATTGACTCGAGTTTGTCATGGTTTTACCATGCACAACAGGTGCAAGGCTGCTTGCATACATATTTGTATGGCATACACTAACTGTGGAAGCAGAGGAAAGGCCTGGCCAGCCTTCCTGAAGTATTCTGATTTTTCCAATCAGCCACATAATTAAAAAAATGAAAAATATAGCTGCTCTTGCACTGTTGTTGTGCACAAGGCTTCTGTTGCTTTAACAGGGCTCCAGGCATTGGGCGGGGTTGATGTTGCCTTTATGTTGATGTTAATATTTTTAAAGATGAAATTTTATACATATTCTTACACTGTACCAGCTGAGTGAAGTGGTGAGTGGTGTACACAACATGGGAAGTTAGGAATGAAAAGTAGTGAGACAATATTTTGCAAATGAAGTGAAATACTAACAGAATGGTTTATAGCCTTGTGCTAGGCAACTGTTTTAAGACACTCTTTGTAGGTGCAAAGGTGTAAAAGGTTTCTCTGGAAGAAGCAGGAATTCAGTCTGGGAATCAGCAGAAGACTTTTTTATTTCTGCTTACTGTTTTAGGCACATTACAAGCTTCAGTTGGGCCCTAGAGACATGTTTAGAAATTACAGTTTTCATGTGAGACACTGATAATAAAATTGTTCCTGAAGATCAGCTAAAAACTGTTTTTAGGTGGCTGCCTTCTAAATGCTGTGATCTTATTTTTATACTGCTTTAAAAAGCACTAAATTTAACTCAGAAGAAGGTATAAAAGTATACTTTGAATAAATTAGTCGGGTTCAGTATTACATAGCAAACATATCTACAATCTAGTATTATTTACTCATGTGGAATTTCTGAAGGTGCTTTATTAAAATTCACTTATGTTTTGATTTTAATGTGCCTGCACACTTAGGTGTTAGCCAAGGAGTTACTTGTCTTTAATTTAGTACTTAAGTATTATAAATAATGAAGTATCTCTGAGCTGCTGTTATCTAATGAGTCATTTGGTTGATGATATTTTTCTCATAATAATGTGAGGTGTTTCAATGACCTAAGTGGATTATCTGTGACATCACAGTATTTTCTGTGACCATATGTTTTTGTACTTCAACTTTTGTTGAGCGTCCAGGCTAATTAAGATGGATTATAAAAAAGAAAGATTATTAATTAAAAATGTTAGCACTGTGATCAGTCATCTTTTCTTTATGAAACTGTGATGGTAAACAGTCTTCTGTCTTTCTAACAGGATATAGTTCCCAGAATTGAAGAAATAATGATTGTTGTTATTGTGCAGTTTTTTTTCTTTCATCACTTTGCCAGCCCTTGCCTGACAGCTACACTGAGTATCTCAGTTGCTTCCTGCAGATTTATTTCCTGGTCTCACACAGTTCTGCCAGATAACCCCGTGTGCCCTTGGTTGGAGTGAATGCAGCACTGTCAACAATGGCTGCAGAGAAATTCCGTGCAGATATCTAACACGTTTGACAACGATTCCTCCTAACCAATTAAAATAACATCTTTGGATGAATAAGACGATATTCTTTGTCTGAAGCCACTCTTTTCTTTTTCCTTTTTTTGAACGTTTAACGATTCTTATCCCGACCCCTCGGCCAACCCCTCCCTAGAAGGGAAACCATAGGTTAAAAGGTTAACCCGTAAGTGTATCTTTTAGAAGTGCATTACCTTGTTTATATTTTAATTAAAAAAACCCCGAAGAAATCTTGAGACAACTATTTCAGTGCAAATACTGAGTGTAATTACGCATGGAAATGCACTGTTGCAAAAGGTACATCACTGGAAGTTCCTTATAGCATACACCAGACATTTGCCAGTTTGGTGCTGCCACTGATGCTGAATAAAAAAGGGTATTTACCTGTGACATCTGATCTTGGCCAATATGTCAGTGTGTTACAGAGTTGGGAAATGATTGGAATACTGCCTGTGGTGCTTGTGCTGATGGATCCCAACTGATGTCTGTCAATCAACTTGTCAGTAAATTAAAAAAAGAAAAATCTTCATTGGGAGATTGGGTAAATAGGCTTAGGATACTAACAACTACTGCATCAGTCAGAATTGGAAGATACTTTTGGTGCACTTTGCAAATTCAAATTTATGTCAGGAACAAAAGAAAAACCAGGATTATCTGTGAGAAAAATTAGAAACATTACAGCGATACTTTCCCAGCTGGTCCAAAGAGTTGTGCTTCTACTTAAATCTCAGATATCTCTAACTATCCATATAGCCTGTCCAATAATGCTGATCAGCTTATTTGAGTTAATAAGTCAGTTTTATTATTATTAAATAATGAAGAAATTTAAAATAATGAAAAATGTATTAAAATTACAGCGTACTGGCAATATAGTCCCCTATAAAGAACAGAAGTCTTTCTATTTCTAGTAGCATGTCCTGCACTTTCAAAATACAAGCTACTAAACAACACTTGATTGGAACTTGGAGGGGATGAAAGAATGAGAAGGGCACAACAGCATGGTTCTAATAATGAGTTTGTTTTTAATTATTTTATAGTTTAGAGAACCTCATTTCATTTGAGAGATTATTGTTTGGAAATAGTAATGTATTTTTTGGATATTCAATTAGCGCTTTCAATTTTTATGATGCTTTTTTTGCCCCCCAGTGTTTGACCATTTCTAATAAATTCCTAAACGCATTTGAACTTGAGTGATTGTCTTAACAAAATATTCCATTTTGCAAGGGAAGAATCCTTTTATAATACATGTTTAAATAGAAGAATTTTGCATTGCAGAGATAGTATTGAGTCAAAATGAAAAACATTTCTTACCTTTAAGCTAAAGTCATGTTTTTATAATAGGTGTTCATGCTCATTTCTACAATTTGATTCCACAAAATCATAAGCACAAACCTAATTGCATGTGTAGGAGGTGCTTGTTGGCCTCAGTGGGATCCTGTAGGAGCAGAGTTAAACATGCAGATAAATAAGCATTTGCAAAATCAAGGCTTAGTGTTACGACTCTGTTTAACGAAAAGAATTTGACTTGGAATATTTACTCTGTTAATACCATGTTACAAACCAGTTAGAAACACAAGTTGCTTGAAAATGTGCTGGAATATCAAGAAGCTCACAGCATTCTAGCAGTGGAGAATCCATCACACCCTGCTGGACAACGTACAGAACACACAATTGCTATTTATAGAGCTAATGTCTGTAAAACATTGGCATGCTGATTTATATATCTAGTGTGCTTTAGAAGGAAAGAAGCAAAAATGTGTATCATCCAGAATGAGAGGGGATGAGAAATAAATATTTGACATCAGTGGAAAATAACTGTTCAATCTCAGGCATCCCCAGAACAACTGATCAGACAGTAAAAAGTGATTGCAGCTCTACTAAGAATATGCATCATTCCAAATTCAATCCTGCTTCTAAGCAGTACCTTTCAGTAATTACCTTTCTTCTTCTAAGCAAGTACCTTTCCTGGCAACCTTGAAACACTGTCCCCACCTTCATTTTACAGACCCTGGGAGATACTCTTAGGGTTTAGTTTTATTAGCATATAAATAAGAAATGAAGAGTATAAAAAGAGTTCAGGTCAAGTCATGTCTGTGGGTTTTGGCTGCCCTGGACTGGTGTGCCTGTCTTTAGGTCCTTTCATTCTTCAGATGGTAACTCCCACTACCTGCAGTATGGGGTAACAAGTTATTTACGCCACTGTGTCAGCACTGACCCACTTAAGCAGACAACAAATCCTGGTATTACCTTTAGTCTACAGACAACACAGCTGGCTTGCTATGCTTTCATGCCCAGCCTGGTTTCTGCTGCCATATTGAGCATTCATCATTCCTGGTACGTGCCATGGCTCAGCCTGCCCACTGAAATCCCTGCACTGCTCTCCTTTAACTTGCTGTCCTCTATCTATTCAGTTCTACCCCTCTTGTCTCCCTCTCCTCCTATCGAGCCTGATCCTGCTCCTCCAGCTCTATTTCCCAAGACCAGGTAAATGACAGCTGTCCCTCTTCTACCATCTGAGTTCTTTCAATTCCCACCCACCTATCATTTTCCTGCTGTTCTGCTCCATCTGGAGTTTTGTATCAGCAAATACATCAGTCATGTTTGCCACAGCTACTCCTGTATCTAAACACATCTCTGTGTTTCTAAGTGGCATAACCGTCTCTCATAATGAATCTTCCCGAGAAATGATATCACACTGAAGACCAGCAATGATTTTAGGCCATATCATTTTGCTTGGCAAGAGCCAGGAGAGCCTAAAAATAAATTATTCAGACCATTCCTATGTCTAGAAAAACTCTGTTTATCATTTGTTATAGTGATATAAAAACTGCTTTACCTGAAGTGCTTTAGCAAGTTATACCTGAGCATGAGGGGAAGCATACAGAATTCCAGCTTTCAGAAGCAGACTTTGAAAAGTGACTGAAATAAAAACTGACCCTCAAGTAAGGAATGACGTTGCAGGGTACGGAAAGAGGCTCCTTTTCTCAGAGCAAGCAAAATAACTGGGTCTGCTGAGGGCTGACCAGCCCAGACCCATGTTCTGTCTCACCGTTGAAAATTTACTAGTAAGAAAACAAAGAGGATTTAAAAAAAGATCATATTTAATTTCTTTTTTCTTCTACCCTTCCAAAATTAAAGAAATTAAGGGAAAAGTGTATAACTGGGCTAGAGTTGAAGCCAGTGATGTGTTATTGTTTCCTTGTGAAAGGACAGTTTTCTCATCCATGCCTTAAATTTAGTATCTGCTTTTGTTCAAAACAGTGTAGGAATAACTGTGAACATTGTAAACCCCTTCAGAAGATGGTGAAAAGGAGCTGCAGGATTTCTGGAGAAGTAAAGCCCACAAGCTTTAACTGAGTGCCTCTGTGCTAACAGGAGGCCTTTTAAAGGCTTCCTTGAAACACATATTGTCTTCCAAGGTTAATCCAGGATAGTAACGATTAATTGTAAATTGAGAAACGGCTTTAATTCTTCAAAACTAGAAAAGCCTGATGCACCAGGCCCACTAGCTTAAAGGGCCAGCAGGAAGAAGACAATGTTTCCTCACAGAGTATGAGGCTTGCAACTGACTTTTTGAAATGGAAGTAGAGTGGGAATGATTTTCACTCTCTCTTTCATATAAATTTAGCATCAAAAAATGTTTTTTTTAATGCATTTGTTTGCTGGATTGATGTGATTTATGTCTAGTGTCAAGTAATCTGTGCTGGTGTTCTTTTTGGCTATCTGGACATAGTTTTTTATCAACACAAATCACTGCAATTACATGACCAGTAGAAGGCAGAAGGTTGATCATCAGTGATAAAGCTCAAGATGGATTAGTGTCATGTTTCTTATATCTTTGTTCCTTATCTTAAAAAGCCATCCTGAGTTGCTTTTTTTTCCTGGTCCAACTCTTAGACTTTTTTTTTGTTTGCTTGTTTCCTGCTACTTGAATGAGAACCATTTGAGATATTGGTAGGTTTTCTTAGTGGGAACAAAAGCTATTAAGTTGCAGGTTCATGAACAGTTATTTACTCATAGGAGTGGCATAATTTTGAGTACAAAAGATTTTAGCATACTGTGGGATTAAGGTATGTTAAAAATCTTTAAAATTTGCAATTTGAGTGCCTTTGCTGGTTATATTTTCTCAATTTGCTTTGCTATGAAGATACCCTGGGAGATGTCTAGAAGCTATCAGGAAAAATTGATGAGTTGGATGTTGGATGGTGCAACAAAAAATAGTAACAACTATTAATGAACCCAAAAGAATAATACGTGATAGAGTTGAGCCCATATTGTTCTGTAATACTGGATGTGATTTAGGCTTGCTTGTTTTGACTGAAACTTCTACTTGTATTCTTGAAATGTTATGATATGTAGGAAACAGCCCCATTGTAATCTTTATTTTGTCTGTTTTTTAAGGCATACGATGGGTTTGCCAGTTTAGGAATATCACGATTGCTGGAACCTTCGGACATGGTTTTATTGGCAATACCCGACAAACTGACTGTTATGACCTATCTCTATCAAATAAGGGCACATTTCTGTGGCCAGGAGTTAAACGTGGTTCAGATAGAGGAGAACAGCAGTAAAAGCACATATAAAGTGGGTAACTATGAAACAGACACAAACAGTTCTGTCGACCAGGAAAAATTCTATGCAGAGCTGAACGACCTGAACCGGGAGCCCGAGCTGCATCCACCAGACAGTGGTTTGGCAGACTTTGCTTCACAGGATGACTCCGTGTTTGTAAATGACAGTGGTGTTGGTGAATCTGAGAGCGAGCATCAGACTCCTGATGACCATTTAAGCCCGAGCACAGCTTCCCCTTCTTCTCGCAGGACTCGAAGTGACACAGATCCACAGAAATCCCAGCAGAGCTCTGGAAGGACTTCTGCATCTGAAGAAATTGGGAAGTGTAGCAGTACAGACACAGCACAAGTGCAGCCTACGTTGGGAAGGAAGAAACTGCTGATAACTGACACTTTAGACTTCAGTGACTTAGCACATGTCAGTGATCAAAAAGAGGATATGTCTCCCACAGTTGCTTGTGAAGATAACAACAAGAAGAGACACCAGAGCTTAGACAGTACCACTGGTTTCTCAGAGCAAGAAAATCTGGGACGTGTAGGATCCACAGAGAGCACAAGAGCTGATCCTGGTTCACCTGTCAGAAAACCAAGTTTATCTCCTACTTCTAAGCCTGGATACTTCTATAATATGGATACAGATCTTGCAAAGAAACCGCATGCTTCTCCAAGGCAAACAGAATCTGATTCTGACAATGATGCCAGAACAGCTTTAAATCACGCAGATCAAACTGCAAAAACAGCCCAGGTAAGAAACTTATGCCTCTGAGTGTTAAGATGGAGATGCTGTTCAAGTTCTTTCTGTGTTTGTAATTTACACCATGTCTTAAGTATAAATGGTGAGATGAGTGGTGTACTTTATTGTTGGGCGATAACTATTTTGCTTAAAAGGTAGGTGGTGCTGAAAAAGTCATTACATGAAAAACTAGTTTTTAGAAATTATAGACATTTTGAATACCTTAAAATTTACCAAAAGATATTTCAAAATCTTGTCTGAGAAACCACAGAATCTTGTGAATATAGCCATAATAGTGAGGTACAAACTCCAGTCTATTAAATTACACTGTTCATTTAGTGGCCCTAATGCACAATACCACAATATTGTTTTCCTTTCTATAAAGACCAAAGTATATGCCCACCTGCCTTGCAGATATATTGTGAGAATGAAAGTTGAATATTACATAAATGCTGAGTATTATCAAGGAATTATATCATCACAAAAATATGTAAAACATGTTATCAGTTCTGTTAACAAAAATGCCAAAGCAGGCTTATATTTTTACCCCTGTGAAGAGCTTTCTTGAGTTTTGCCTTTGTTTGGCTTTGTGCCGTTAGCTCTGGTAAGAAAAGAATGTAGCCAATCTTTTGGTAGTGTGGATTGCTTCAAGTATTTATATGATTTTTTTCTGAGTAAGTGCCATAAAGATTCATTTTATTGCAAGAGTAGCAGTCCATAGATGGGTGATAATGGCCAAATATTAGTTCCATAGCCAGCTAATTGCTTTCCTTTAATCAGTGAAGTCTTGTGACGTTTCTCTTCATTAGCAGCAGCATCTTCGTGTACTGGGTGAGAAAGGAACAGTTTGTCCTATACAGAATAAAAGAGGAGGAGACAGAATTTGTTGTCTATGAAGCTTTCCATTGGTAAGGGTGTAACAGGCCAAGAAAAAGCAAGCGGAAAAACAGTTCTTTCTTGTTAATCATCAGTGCATTTGCACATGGAAATAAAATCTCAGGTGTGAGGCTCAGTCTTAACCTTGAACACTCAGTTGTTGGTTAGAGTCAACCGTCTCCATTTCAAGGTGGTTGTTGCAGGAGCCCAACAGGCAACACCTGTCGCAGCTCTGGCTCATGTAAAGGCCTAGAGACACATTTTCTCAGTCTTCACAGTTGACCTTGACTAAGAAGTGAGCCATTGGGAGGATGTATGTCTGGGAGCTGCTCATGTTCTCAGGTTGCCTATACAGATCCCACTTTTGTTATTTCTACTCTGCAAATATGCTCAGTCCTCTAGATGCGGAAGGGACTTGGGGATGTTCATAAATGAAGTAGAAGTAGATATTTTCACAGGTTGGTTTTTTTGCCTTGTACCCAGCCTCTTTGTGTTCAATTTAAGCTATAAATGAGTGATACCCATATAAGCAGCCAACAAAGCATTATATTTGCATACATATTAAAGTATATAAGTAAACACATAGCACATTTAGCATAGCTTCAATGAAGCCAATCGGTTTTTTCCACAGTTGCAGTTTAAAGGCATTAAATGTTGATAGAAATTAAGTTTTAAGGGGAGAGGACTCCTATTTGCATTATAAAGGCCTATGACTTTTTTACATTTTGATCATCTTTACTTTTAATTTCTATAGAATGCTCTGTCACCTCATGAAGATGTAATTCATGTGACTCCTGACCCTTATTATATAGGAAGGCCGCTGGCTATTAACTACTGTATAAACGTTCAGTACCCTGAGGCTGCCTTGCTGTTAATTATATTTCTTTATTTTTAAGCAACGTATGTTGTCAAGACAGGAAGAACTTAAAGAACGAGCAAGAGTTCTGCTTGAGCAAGCAAGAAGAGATGCAGCTTTAAAGGCAGGGAATAAGCAACTAACCAATACGCTCATCCCAGCCCGCAATAAACAGCTGAACGATGTAAGAAATATTGGCCAGTCTTGCAGTTTACCGAGTTAAAATTCATTGTATGTGCTTGTGTGGGGGGCATGTCCTTGCAGAGTATTTCTTCTCCACATTGAATTGCTATGATGTGTCATGTGTCCTTCATTCACTTTTAAAGCCTGTTTTTCCTGATAAAAACAACAGAACTTGCCTCAGACTTCCCTGGAAGCAGAAGTCTGAGGGCACCTTCTTTGATTGGCACTGCAGTTTCTAATGGGACAGAAACCAAAAGTGACTTCTTAAATGATAGTGGAGTAATTGGTGCTATTTTTGATTACTTTTTCCCTTTAATATAAATGGATTCTCTGAGCCTCTGATGTCAGCTCCTTGCTGCTTTATAAGTGTTGTTGCAGTGAATGAAGCTGCTCGTGACAGTCGTGTAAAAGTGTTGATAGAACAATTCCATTTTATCACCAAAGTTGATTATGCTGCTGAGATGGGAAAGTGGAGCTGACAAATGAGCTCCAGTGTTGAAGCTGCTATGGTTGCATCTCCAGTGGCCTCCATGGTGACCTGGAAGGTCTGGAGATGAAAGCTAATTAATTTTTATGCAAACCTTTGGAATGCAGGTTTTGTGATTCTTAACTTTTGTGCATTAGAGACCATACTGGAAACTGAGAATGTAAATATAACTGAAAAATAATGATACTGAGAAACGCTTGAATCTTCACGGATTCACATCTCTCAGAGCTGAGTCCTGAGGGGCAGATTCTGCTCTTTACATAAATGGGACCATACAATCAAAAATTATTTGCATCTCTTATTTCATTCTCTTAACTCTTTTAGATTCATTCTGGACTCTTTTTTTTTTTTTCTTAAAAATTCCTCTCACCAGACTGACACTTAATTTTACTTTCAAATACATTCATATATGCAGACAAGTCTTATTTGGATAATGATATATAATTTTTTTCTTATTTTGTCTTTTAAGTTTTTCCTGGATAAGTATATTTTAGTATAAATTTCCCTTTGGATTTTTTTCAAATTAGTTTTTCATAAAGAAAATGGTGTTAGAGGAGAGTTACTGTAGGCAACTACTCAGGCAGAAACGCTGTAATTAAAGTTGCCTAACATTTTTTATTACAAGCTCCTATTTTCAAAGGTTCTACAACTTTGCTAGTATTTTATTGTTTGAGCTGATATTTTCCCCATCAGCTTCTCTGCTTCAGGGTAATACTTTTAAATTTTTTTTTACCTCAAAAAACCCACCCTGTTTGGCTGCTTCTCTGTATTAGGGTGGATAAGGCATTTTTTTATCCATGTTAAAAATTGATACAATTTTGGAATAAGGTTCCAAACCCTTGAAAAATTGGTTCAAAACAATCAAAGTTGTGTTACTAGCACAATCTTGTCAGAGAGCCTTGGTGTTCAGAAAAGTTGGTAAGTGTCAGTAAAAATTTTGTGTATGGACACAGCTCAGCAAGAGCATCTTTTACAGTTGCTCTCCTAAGGATTGGGGCCTGTTCTGATGCAGATCATAGTATTGGAATGCAAAACTTTCTCTTTTAGCCTCAAATTCCTGCAAATGAAATCCAAACAGGAGTAAAAGGGGCTACTCCATTGGCATGCAGAGAAGAGATGGCCTGGGTAGATGGAAGGAGGTAGATGGCAATATCAAGTTAGACTATCTGAGCCATGAAAACCAACTGAAGGATAGAAGATGGTGTCAGGGTGAGAGTCAGAATTGCGTAGTTCAAGCAGCCAAATTAGCGACGGGACTTTATTTCATTTGTTACAGAAGCTGAAAACTGATTAGAAGCCTATGGGAAAAGGAAGGGCAGTCTTTTTAGGGCAGCTTGGCAGAGCCAGAGTTTCTTGCTGCCTCCATCAGAAGATCAAGGAGAACTGTGCTGTGCACAAATGGACCTAGCTTATGTGAAATCCTGGGCACTCTGAGCAAACCACAACAGGCACTCTTGACTTGAGCTGATTATCACATAAGAATGACAAAAGCTCCTCAGCTCAGAAGTGTGTCATGGAGATGTAATTTGGAAACTCTTAGATATGATGGTAAAGAATGCCACAGAAATGCTCTGGAAGAAATTAATATTCTGTGTTCAGGGAAAAGTTTCAATAGTGTATTTTAAAAAAGGTGTGGAGCAGATGGTAAATGATGAGCGTCAAGTGAGCTGTTGAACAACTGCTTATTCACTGAATATTGTCAGTCATGGCCAGCAAAAAAGACAAGTATCCTGTAGGAAAAAAAAGGTATGAATTATGCAATTAAAGAATGCATAATAGTTCTCTATATGCAATGAGAACCAATGCAGGGTTGTACAGCTACAGTAATTTCAACATTTTCTAACTTTTGAGTGCTTGACTTACCAAGCTCAACATTCTCCCAATGCATTTCATTGGGAGACATGCATTGTGAAAGGAGAGTATCTTTAGTGGAGTCTGGTACAGTATTCATATTTCATATAGTATATAAAGTTGATATATAATAATACACATTATATAAAACTGTATATAACATATGAATATGTTATACATATGTATATGTATATATGTATGTATACATATATGTTCAGAACATGTGTATGTTCTGAACAAGGATGTGTGTGTGTATCAACACCTAGAGGTATAAGATAAAATACATTGATTCCTGTTTAACATATTTGGTCTTCACAGAGATGAGATGTTTACATTTGATGTAGTTGTGCCAGTTTTCTACAGGTCATTGCTCATTTTATTGTTAGAATATAATATAGACTTATTTCCATTCATGGTTTTTTGGTCATTAAGGTTAATAATAAGAACTTTGACTCAAAGCAGTATTGTATATCAGTTTGTGGTAACCTGTAGTAGTGTGTTATCCAAATGAGACTTATAATGAGAATCAGCATTTAGTAGTGGAAATTGGAGTAGGCTCATTTCTGGGGTGGATAGAGATTCAAAAGAGAATGGTTTAAAATAGGAAGATCTAATTTTAAATAAGAAATTTTTAAAGAGATAGTACTTTTGACAGTAACGTGTGAAGTTTGCAATTGCACCTTTTTTGATACCTTCACAAAAAGATCTTTAAGCATCCCAGTGTGCTCTGAATGTCAGTCATCCTAGATGAGAGGAGCCTGCAGAGTCATCAGTTGCTTTTGAAAAATCTTCTCACAGGCCTTGCTGTTGCCACTTTACATTTATCATATGAGAACCATGAATTCCTGTTTTCTCAGTAAATGAGTGAGAACCGTGTACAGTACATGAGATTGTACAATGTACTGTGCAAAGGGCTATACAATGTGTAATGTGCTTCCATCTTCTCATGTTTGTGCTCTGGGGTTAGATCCGTATAAGTATTATCATTTGTTTTACTTTTTTTTTCCTTTCTAACTCACAAACTGATGAAGTTGTGGGAGCAAAATATTAAGGCACCGAATTTGCTCATATACCTGTTAACTCAATCCCGTTTTCCTCTGAATCACATTTCACATCGCATCCCGAGCTGTATCCTCTTTCTTTGCTTTAATTTTCATCCTCATGTTCTTTCCCCTCTCTCAAACCATCTTTCAGCTGTCTGCTCTGGCCATGTCAGCTCCCTTTCTTCTCCTTTTTGACTTTTCTTTCCTAATACTTCTGTCTTCACACTTTCTTCCCTTCGACATCTTCCCTGTACGCCTTCTGCCCCATTGTCTTCCGTTCCTATTCCACCCACTTGATTTAGGCCTGTCATTCTCTGCTTGCTTCCTCTAACTGTATTTTTATTAGCCCCATTTCTCCCATTTCTTCCCTACTTGCAGCGTGGTAGAAGTTTTTTCACTGTTATGTCTGCTTATTTGATGCTTCTCAGAAGCCTTCAATCTGCAAGCTGTATGCATGCCAGCCTGATCCAGAGGTATGTAGGCAGGTATTTGAAGTCTAAGAAGAGACTGCATTGATCAGACCCTCCTTGAAATCATGCTCATGGTTTGGGAGGATCATAGCTATGTCATTAAAATTGATGCAGCCCTTTGGAGATTGGAAGAATTAGCTTAAGAGCTCTGTGTACAGAGTTACTGATCCCCTCATGGATCCCTTTCTCTATGGTAGATTTATAAACAGCTCAGTCTTTCTGCTAGCTTTCTTGATGTATGTGTGCATGTGGTGACTCTTTTACGAGATGCTTCTGTCATTTCCAATCTGGTATAGCAGCTGTAATCACTTAGCTTTTAACCGGGAGAGCCTTTTTATTAGCTTACTCATTTTTATTTAACTTGCCTTTTCTCACGATGAATATCACAGTGCTAGGAGGGACATATCTGCTCCCACCAGATGCTGTAAAATATCAACCTGTAGTGATGGTTGTTAGCAGCAGGAGCTTGGCTGGAATGTGATGTTGGAAAGGTGAGGAGACTGGAGCTGGTCTACGTGACCTAACCATCAAAGTGGCAGGCTAGAGGGGACCACAATGAGTGGAAAATATTCAGAAGTCACAGGGCTAAAAGGCCTTTCCAGCAGGAAACCCTCACCTGCAGAACATGGAGTGGAATCCATAATTCCTGAATCTCAGCAGAACTCTGCTGTCAGCAAATATCTGCAAAAGCCATTGGCAAAATGTTCATCTTATTTTCCTTTAATGGCTGGTCCACATAAAGGATGGAAATTTACTGCAGCTGTCATTTACTCTGTAAACTCAAATGGCTATGGTTATGGAGTCAGCATGATTACAGAGAATGGAATTAGGAGTTAAGAAATGCACAGGCAACTTTAATTAACCTCCTTTGTGTATATGCATTACGATGTAGTCTTTAATTATGTGATCACATATTATTTTCCCCAAAGCAATTGTGTCTCATTTACCTCAGAGGAGTGAGGTGATGTAGAAGGCTGTTTGTCCAGAGGAACTCTGTCCTTTTGGCTGCACAAATTGGAAGGTGTATGGCAAATGAAGCAGGGATCTTGAGGAGCAAAAAGATGAGAGCATAGTTCTTGAAGGAATTAAATGTAATACTGCCTTTACCTGAGTTCCTGGTCAGTGCTGCTAAGTCTTTTGAATCAAACTT